TTCCCCACCCCTACCCCAACACGGAGTCAACATGCTCTCCATCACCAGCTGGCAGATCTCTCTGGTTGCTAAGCCTCATCGACATTGCCGGAGTTGCCTTCTTTCTACTCCATTCTTAAACACGAAGAGACCATCTAGGCATGGTCATCTGTTAAGATTAAATTCAACAGCCTGGAAGGAAAGCACCCAGAATTGCAAGAAAATGACTCCAGAAGAACTAGCAGTAATTGTAGCGACAAGAAGAGAATTTTAAAAGAACCTAATTAGACTCCTTCCAAAGATACAAGAAGATATCCACATTCATAAATAAGAATGGAGGCTTTGGAATAGTGACAACTGCAGTACAAGAATGAGCTTGGAGGAGAAAGCCAAAGAAATCTCCCACAAGTAAAACAAAAAGCCCAAAAGACAAATGGAGCTTAAGGGTGTTCATAAACAGCCCTCTCCCCCTTTCCACTTGAGTTTGCAACCAAGTGAAAAATAGATAGATGGAGTAAAGAATGTCAGTTTCATTGCTGGGAAAGAAGAAGACAACAGCCAAAAACAAACAAACAAACAAAAAACAAACAAACAAAAACCCTACTGCACTGCAGGGTGTAGCTTTCTGACACCCACTCCTGAGCTAGGCAGCTGTCCTAGTCTCCTGTCCTAGTCTGGGTAATGCGCCCCCTGCTGGATGGCAGATACAGACCGTAAGTCATCTCTCCCAGAGAGAAGCCAGCCCCCAAGTCCTGCTCCTCTCTCTCAATCCACCAGCCAGACCAGGCACTTCTGCTCAAGGGAGAAATGAAGAAAAGGATGGAGAGGGCCAGGTTGTGTCACTCGGATGGAATTTATTTCTGAAGAAGCCAGGGAATCAACGTTGAAAACTGTGATAGACAATAAGACGGACCTAGCGGTTCAACCACCAATGAGAATGCCATAAAGAATGCTTTTAAACAATGGAGAGGAGAAAAAGAGAATGTCTTCATGGTGAAGGTCATGCATCCTCAGATGAAAGGAGTCTGCTGAGAGCTGGGCAGAATAAATGGGAGAAAGCTATCGCCATGATGCTTCAGAACAGTAAGAACAAGGGGGGATCAGAGTTTTTACAGGGAACAAAGCACAAAGTGGAATGAAAACAGACCCATCCTCCAAAAAAATACCCATTTGCAAAGAAATCAGTCAGATATCACACTTTCCCACCTTCACCACTGGAGGCCAAGAGCCTGTGGAGATAGCCCTTCTTTTCAATTCAGAATTCTATACCCAGCCAAGCTATTAATCAAGTGTGAAAGCTGAATGACGACATCTTAGACACGCAAGAATTCAGAGAATGCATCCTCAGTGCACCTTGAAGGAGTTACTCAGGAATGTGCTGCAGCAAAAAGAAGAAACAGACCAAACAAGGGAAATGGAGCTTCCAGCACAGTGGCCGATCCAGGAGGGTGTGAGGGTGGGGCTCATCTGCAGTACCAGCTCAGATGGGAAGAAGGCCCAGGACCACAGGCCACCAGGAAACAAGGGGAAGGAAAGGGAATTGGAGGCTGATGCGATGATTATCAGGACAGAAAACAGGAGGGTGCAGTCAGTGTGAATGGTAGTAAAGACAACGAGAAATCCCTCAGTAGCCTTGGCACACAGACAGCGGTATTGGACCAGATCACCAGGCAGTCATGGCACAGCACTTGGCCATGCATTTAACAACACAACAAGCCCTTGTTGTTCACAGGGGACCGGGTCCTGGACTCCCAGCATAGACCAAACCACAAAGAACGTTGCTGTTCTTATACTTCATATTGTCTCTGTATTACTTATAATATTGTCATGTAAACGCTACATAAATATCTGATTTACCCTATTCTTCAGGGAGTGATGGAAAAAAAAATCTGTACATGCTAATACAGGTGCAACCTGCATAGGGCTAAGTACACTGGAGTGGAAGGGCAACAATGTTCCAGCCACAAGGGCAGAGGGAGACAGGATCTGTGATGTGCAAGTCGCAGGGGAGAATGCCCAAGCATGGTGCCTTTCCCACAGAGTCAGAGCAGTACCACAAAGTCCTTTTGCTTTTAGGAACTTTCTAGAACTGTTTGCAACTTGCTCCATGCATTTAGGATCTGTAGTTACTGAGGCCTGACCAAATTGCACACAGACGCCTCTTGTTTTCAATTTTTAAAATTACCTTCTGGGTGAATTGTGGGAGACTTCACAGCAGCTACAGAATAGAGGTCCTCACTTTGATTTCTCCTCTTATAACCCAAATAAAATGTCTCCAGCTCCTCCAGGAGCAGCTGAGGAAGGATAACCACTATTCCCCACCCAAAGCCACTGGAGACCGCAGAGAACAGCCCTGCACAGGCTCCTGCTCTGCTACTGCCTGCAACCCACCACCCACCAACCCAACCACAACCCAGTGCCCATGACCCACCCAAACATGACCCATCACCCACCAGCCGAACCACAATCCATGACTCAGGGCCCACACCCAAACACGACACACCATCCACCAACCCTTCCATCCTTGACCCACGTGCCAGCCACACACTCACCCACCCACCAGTCATCAGTCTCCACCCATCTGCCATTGCCCCCCAAAACAGCTCCAGCTGAAAATGCTGCTTATGGGAGGTGTTTTCTGGAGTTCAGAAGGCATGCGGTAGGAAGTAATCAAGAATCAGATCCCCCACCCCTTGTTTTCGGGAATGTAACACCAGCTCACTGAATGAGATCTCTCAGCCTCCAGCCCCTTTCACATGCCATGGGGCATGGCTGCCACTGGCTGGGCCTTCTTACCTGCTGTGACACATGTCCACTGGATTCCAATGCTCCTGTCTGCCCTGGCTACACCACCCACAGCCCTGCCTAGGGGATCAGCAAGTGCCCGGGGACTTAGACCTGCTCCATGTTCTGACTTAGTCAGGCTGGAAACGGCTCCCAGGTGATTTTAATGTGTATTTGGGAATGCGATTCCCTGCTCTGCTCTTCCTGCTTGCCAGCAAGCAATCCAGCCATTATGAACGGCTGCTGCTCTTCTACACGAACTGACGTGAGCCTTTCCTTTCCCACTCCTCCCAGCCCATGGGATTCCTTCTTCCCTTCCTTCTCTGTGTGCTGGCATCTGCAGGCCTTTAAAAGGGAAGCCTGCTATGGGCAGGGTTCTGCATGAGGATTTGGTCACTTGACTTGCTTTCATGCCTATAAATTTGTCCCTCTTCATTTGTCAGGGGCCGTATACTCTTCCATGATGGAGTGTAGGCCGTAGTTCACTTCATCATGTTCCTGCTGATCTCTTCTGTGTTTTTGCTGAGATTTTGCTGTTGTTAATTACATTGCAGCGAGACTCCAGTGGATGTGTGTCCTTCAAAACTGGTGCAGGTATTTCCAGAGGGAAATCAGGTGAAATCAAAATTGAAAATTTTGACAGGTATTACACAAGTACTCTCCAAGGAAATTGTGGAGCAATATATTGCACCCCAATAGTTAACACATCTCCCTGGACTCTTACCAACATCAAAATTAGCAGGATTGTCCATTAAAAAAAATTATATTGAAAGGCAGAATGACAAAAGGAGAGAAAGCCAGAGGAAGAAAGAAAGAGTCCTCTTATCTGTTAGTTTACTCCCAAATAAGATGCTCGTAACAGCAAGAGTTAGGCCATATTCAAACCAGAAGTCTAGAATTCCATCCAGGTCTCCTAAGTGGGTAGCAGGGACCCAAGTTCTTGAACTGTCACCTACTGCCTCCCAAGGTGCACGCTGATAGGGCGCTGGGTGGGAAGAAGTGGAGGCAGGATGCAAACTTGAGCACTCAGCTAGGAGAAGTGGGCATGCCTAGCACAGACTTAACTGCTGCACCAAATGCTTATTTCATCAGTCATTTTGCTTATTTGCTAGACAAAAACGAGCATCATGGTATCATAGTGTTTAAGTTTGCATTTCTCTATGAGAGAAGTTGAATATTTTTGTGTATATCTCTTAGTATTTTGTATTCTGTGAACTCATTGTGTGGTAAGATTTTGATAATATTTCTAAACACACAGTGTAAGTGCTATTATTTCTCTCTACATCTGCTAAGAACCCCCACCATGATAATAGGGCTATCTTGTTAATCCAGTCAGCTCTTGGCTACTAATGAGAAAGGAGAGGAGAAGATGCCTGATTCACATTTTCAGAAAGTCACCATGCAAATTAAGATATGAAGTGTGCTCATACAAAGAACGTAGACCTGAGGCTGGGGCATGTCTGAGTCATATCATGGTGCTGCCACTGTCCAACTGGATGACTCTAATGACTGCCCTATTCCCTCATCTGTGCACAGTACTCACATCCCTAAGAGGAAGCCTGCCAGCCAAGACAGCCCATCCTTTCCTTCTTCTCTAAGGAGATGGCCAACTCAGTCCTGTCAGACAAGCTGAATGCCTGGGCTCGAACCGACCAGTGTGACCTCTCTGAATAATGGAGCTGCAGCCTCAGGGCTGCTGACCGGCCTGCCCGGGCCTGCCCGATGCTGCCCTCCCCAAGCTGTGCAGCTTTGGATAGGTGCTGTAACCTCTCTAACTCTTGATCCCAGAATAGCTGCACCACACCGGGAGCACAGGTCACTGAGAAGGTGGGTATAATGCCCTGGCCCAGGCTCTCCACCAGGGACAGCACCCCCTTCGCCAGTGCCAATCACTTGTACTGGTCATTGAAAGATCACTTAGCAGTTCCTCTTTTTTTTTTTTTTTTTTTGATTTCAGGAAGCTTTATTTCTTTAGAAGCTATTCTAATTCATTCCCTCACTCTTCAGACTAGCCCTGGCCTCTGTTCAATTACCAAGGGCTTCCAATTAAGCACTAACCCTCTCTGTAGCACAGCCTAGCTTAAGGGAACTGTCAGTGACAAGAGATCAGTCTTCGTTGTCCTCCAGTCCTTAGCTCCAGGATCCAGCATCCTACTCATTCGGTGGTAAGGAGAGTTGTAGCAGGTGCCACAAGTGTGGGGCCACCTTCACTGACCTTCTCCTTATCCTCCTGGCAGGCCGTGAAGCGCTTCTTGAAGCAAGAGTGTAAGTGTCACGGTGTGAGCGGTTCATGTACACTGAGGACCTGCTGGCTGGCCATGTCTGACTTCAGAAAGACGGGCGATTACCTCTGGAAGAAGTACAATGGGGCCATCCAGGTCGTCATGAACCAGGATGGCACAGGGTTCACCGTGGCTAACAAGAAGTTTAAGAAGCCGACCAAAAATGACCTCGTGTATTTCGAGAATTCTCCAGACTACTGTATCAGGGACCGAGAGGCAGGTAAGTTAAAAAAAAAAAAACTCTGTTCACAACAGCCCCTCATCCTCACAGTGAAGGATCGCCCCCAGCCTGTGTGGGGTGCTGCATCTTCAGAGCCATCTCCCTAAGTGCAGCCTGTGAACTTCAGGCTCATGTTCCCTCTGATTCACAGAGAAAGTGCTCTCTGGAGCAGCTTGGGAGATGGGTGGATAATGTGTGGATTCCGGAGAATTGGGAACCCCGAATGTCTAAATATGCAGATTAGCAGAATTCTGATGAGTGGACCTGTGGACCCTTTGAGTGGCCACCTGGCCATGACCTTGAAGCCCAGCAATGGGAGCTTTGCCACATGACTTTCCACCCTACAACCCACCGCTTCCGTGACGAGGTTCCAAGGCTTACTGGGTAGCCTCTTCTCAACTTTTCCCTACTTCACATGTCCTGTATGCTTGAAGTTGCCAGATATGAAGAATCAAGAATTGATACCCTCTCTTTTGGTGATAAGGGCTGTGTGTGAGGTACCTAATTTGTTAAACTTCCAGGTGCACCCTTGCAGATGGCACCTTCTCGTCTCTGTCCTGAACATACCCGCCATCTGGTTTCACACACGTGCTCTGGCCACCTCTCATCCCTCCCAGCTGGCTCTGACCTCCAGCCTTAGCTGGTTCTTTGTGTATTCTGGTACCACTAAGGATGAGTGGAAACAACTGAAGGGAGCCCACAGCTCATGTTGGCTCAAGCCAATTTCTCACACTTGGTAGAACGCAAGGAAATTCATTCATCAGAAAAGAAGTAGCCCTCAAATGCAAATTCTAACTTTGTAAACTAATTAATCGCAGAGGGACTCAGACAGACAGCGCTAATGGCTATGAGCCCCTAACATTAGCTTAACCAAGAAGCAAGCTGACCACAGAGTGTCCCGAGAATGTGCAGGCCTCATTTTTGCCCCTGAGTAGATCCCCTTCCTTCATGGTGTGGTAAGCACGTTCTCTGCAGCTCTGAGCAAGTGAGGACATGAAGCCCGTGGGTTGGGCAGCACTGAGCAGTAGGACCTGATGTTGCACTCCCCTGCATTCCTAACGTGCCTTGGGACCACTGAGCAGTCATCCAACCTGTCATGTACAACATTCCTCCGAACCATCCAGAAATCTAGGCTTTAATACAGGTTTGTCCCAGTGGCTGTTCCTTAACTGCCACTAGCTAGCAGTTTACCTCCAGCCTCCTCAAACCAAATATGGGGTAATGATATCTGGATCCTTTACAGATGCTAGGTGTTGAATAACCTATATGCACACTGGGCTCAGGCTACTACACCCATAATCTCTTTTTAAAGTGTTTTTTTATTATTATTATGTGAAAGGTATTCCTAATAGAGAGAGAAAGAGAGTGAGAGATTAATCTTTTATCCACTGGTTCACTTCCAGATGGCCACAAAGCCTGGGACTGGGTCAGGCCAAAGTCAGAAGCCTGGGACTCCGGGTAGGTCTCCTTCATGAGTGACACAGTTTAGGTACTTGGGCCATGATCTGCTGCCTTCCCTGGTGCATTAGGAGAAAGCTATATCAGAAGCAGAATAGCTGGGATTCGAATCCATACTCTGGAATGGGATGCAGGTGACCCAAGTGGCAGCCTAACCTAAAGGCGGTGGCTCCTGTTTGCTCTGTATCAACCAGGAACCAAACTTACATCCAAGTCATTGAAGTCAGGTCAGCATTCCTGGACTTCATCATCCCCCTTGCACAACTCAGAGAAGTGAACGACCATTTTAGGAGCTGGTGGGTACCTGAGCCTGTAGCCTTTACTTTGACCCTAACATTATACACTGCCCCTCTCTCTCTTTCCAGTCCTGGGTGTGTAAACAGCCTTATGAGACAAACATCTTATTTCAAACATAAGGCCTGTGGCTTCCTCAGCATGTCATTTCTGGCTCATTGAATTGCAATAGTTCACAGTGGTGCTGTTATACATTATGGAGATCTACTCCCTCATGGATACACGATAAGGACCCTACTATTCTCTTCCCCCACAGAAGGATTCTGAATCTAATCTTCATTGCCTGGTTACATGATTAAGTAATTTCTTGCATGCTTTGCTTTCCCTGAGTATTAGAACAAAATTCTGTTTCTGGATCCTAACATAATGGACATACCTGCAAGTCCCAGGTGGCAGGGTTCAAATGATTTTGATAGCCTCAGATAGCCCAGTGGCTGGATGTTCCCCAGCCCAAGGAACTACTCCACGGGCACAGGTTCCTCATTGAGCAGAGAACTCTTCTGAGGGACCCTCTCTGAAAGAAGTCTCATTCTTGGTCAATGGAACTCTCACATGTTCAAAATAGGTTGCCACCCATTTTGCCACCAGAAAGCCAGGTACCAAAATAAACTAAAAGCTTGCAGGGAGGAGCGGTGGCCATTTGGCATGGTGGCTAAGACACCCCACAACATAAAACCTGAGTTCACTTCTCACCTCTGACTTCTAACTCTTTCTAATGTAAACCCTGGGATGCAGCAAAGGATGGCTCGAGTAATTGGGTCCCTGCCAGCCCTGTGGAAGACCTGTACCGGGCCCCAACTGGAGGCCATTGTGGGAAATGGGGAGTTAACTGGCCTCTATGACCTGTCTCTGCTTCTCAAGTAAAAAATGTAAAACTCAGGTTCGTATAATTTTTTTTCATTTTCTCTACTAAAATTAATATTTACCCTTTCCTATATTACATCTCATACTCGTACTCTCATACTCAGGGTCTGCTTATTGCAATCACTTCTTTCTTTTCTTTTTGTTTTTTGTGTATTTTTTTCCTTCAAAATCATGCCTGATCAATATTCAGCTTATTGGGTGCTTTCTCCTTGCCAATACTGGAAAAGCCATGGTGTCATTGGGTTGGGTGCTATAAGACAAGGGTCATTGAAACTGATGACTCCTGCCAGTCAGCAACCTGTTTCCTGTGTGTGTAACTGGCTGGCTCTGTCAGGCTGTTGCAGTGGAGGGCTATAGGTCTAGTGCTCTGCTTTCCAAGTCAATGCCCCTTCAGACACCAAGCAGATGGGAGTCCCAGCAGGGCTGTTCTGATGTTCTCTATGTTTTGCAACTTTAAGCACATCTAAGTTTGAACAATCAGTGATGATTTCAGTAGTCTCTGCTCCCTGGCTTCCCCTAGGCAGTAGGTAAGAAAAAAAATCCAGGGAGACATTCCTTGGGCAGCGTGTGCAGGAGAAAGCATGCATTAAAGAAAAAATAAAGATCCTTCATTTAAGGGGTGCTGGATAAATGTCACCCCAAAATGTCCCCTACCCAGCCTTGTTCAGTGGGAGTTCTACCTTCACATATACACACTGTATCTCCACACCCCCTCTTTTCCTACAATTAAACACACCACAGTGATTTGAGCTATCAAAGCTTTTGTTGAAATTTGTTTGACAGGAGTCACCACATCAACCCTATAGCAACGCCCTGCAATAATGATACTAGAATTAATGCAGCTGACAAGAATGTCAGAGACCTGCGGTGTTCTCTGGGTGAAGACAGACCTAGTCGGGGCAAGACAAGGGGCCACACTGATTGGGATCCTACTCAGAGTTGGACCTAGGGCTACACACTGTGCCTCTTCCTGGTCATGACAGAGAAGAGGCCCTGAAAAAATGTACGAAACTTACCCAGAAATGCATGGGCTGGAAGTGGTAAACAGCAGCAAAAAAACCAGACCTTCCTCCCCATACCAATGAGTTCCTGCAGTATGGGGTGTATGTGGGAGAGGCAGGACCTTGTCATAAACAGGCAGCACAGGACATAGCAACCTACTGGAGGCATCCATAAAATGAAGAGTTCACCCCTGTTCACTCCAGGTTGCCCTGAAGTTCCTGAGCTTTCATCATTCCTAAGAAGTGATAAACCCAAAAACTGGCTAGGTTATGGCAAGGGCAACAGAAAAATACATTCTTCCCTTCATCTTCAAGTGAAGAAAGCAAGCACTAAGATGTGCCACTGCGAATACCCGCCCATGCAGCTGGGATCTGAAGAGTCCATGCAATCGTGGGATGTGCATGTGACATTCTGCAGGCCAAATCGGAGGCGAGATCTCAGAGGCTGGGCTTTCTGGGCTGAGCAGGCGGTGGTTCTGTGGTTATCTACTCTGGTCATTGCCCCAGGCATCTGTAAATCAAAGGAGCCCTTCAGTTAAGAGATAGGTTCATCTCTCACGAAGGAATGCTGCCTCCTGTCCAGAGCGAGCATCTGCACCTAATCACAGGCCACTTTCCCTGGCTATGATGCAAAAACCCCTGACCAGGGCCAGAGGTCACCCCGCGGTCTCCCCTCTGACTTCAGAAAACAAGCCACCCTCTATGTATTCAGTCAAGTTCAAAAAAAAAGAAAGAATTTAAAAAGCCCAAAAAGAGCTCAATGGTTGCTGATCTTGTTGCCTGCTGAGCATTTGATACCTGGATAAGAGCCTACTGTGAGAGATATAAACTCTCAGAGCACCTTGGTTTGTCCACACAAGTCATATTTGGCAAACAGAACTCACAACCCATTATAATACAGTCCCTCTCGTGGTGGCCAGGGATTGGTATTCTAGATAGGCCCTACGGTGTGATCCAGTTTGCAGGACATCATGAACACTGTGATTGTGATCCGTGAGATGGTTAAAATCAAGGAAACATAACAGCAGCTAACAGGATTTGTGCATTGCACGGAGCGGGGAAGGAGAGAAGGGGGGAGGGGGAGGGAGAGAGAGAGAAAGAGAGAGAGAGAGCACTCGAGCGCATATGAGAAGGAGCTTCCATCTATTACCCTACTCCCTAAATGCCTGCACTGGGATTGGCTGAAGTCAGGAGTCCACAACTCCATCAGGGTCTCTTCTGTGCATGTCCATTGAATATTTATGAAGGTCTTTCTGTGTGTCAGAACTAGACAAGCCCAGAGAATACAGTCATGAGGAAGAGGGAACAGGATTTCAGTCCCTGCTCTATCACTCTGTCAAAAGTTATTACATCTGTCATTTGGGCAATATAAATAATAAGTTA